TTTTGTGAATAATTACTACAGGCGATGTCTAGGAAGGATGCTACTTCTCGTTATTATTGGATATGTAATAAGATTTGGAGACGTTTACTTCATACGTTTTCTTGTCATTGCTGGTAGAGGTTTCAGCGATGGAGGAATACTTTTTTGCTTGCAGGGGCTTTGCCTTGGTCGTTCGATTATACATTTCAATGTTAAACATGAGAGATGATTGGGGATTTTTTTCAAAGTCACCAAGGGTCAGCGTTCCTCTATAGATCGGTGTTGGTCTCACTGGTCTTATGTAGGGCTTTGAAAGTTGTCTTAACGCTTCTTCCATGGAGAAGATTGTGCCCTGCTGACAATCACTGACGAATTTGCGAAGAAACTCCTCGTTGTTTTTCTGCGAGAATTTTACTTAGCGTGTGTATTCAAGAAAATCACGACAAACGATCGCTAAAGAAAATAGTATTCACTTTTGTGCTAGACTTATTGTCCTCGAAAAAACCCAACTCTTCATCATCAAAGTCCACTCCTCTATAAATTAAATTTCAGTCAACAACATTTTTTCAAAAAGAAAAAAGAAATTTCATATAAAACAAAGCAAACAAACTCACAATACATTCAATTCGACATTTGACGAATTTATTTGCTCGACCAATGCTTCATAATCCGATTGGTTTACTGGGGATTCTCCATTTGTCAAAAGATAGATCTTTTTCGTGTATTTTAAAGTCCTACAATGCATGTTGATCATTCCCAACGCGAGATTGAGTACATCAAGGACTAAATTTATCGTGGACGGTTAGCAATTTTCAGATAAGTCTCTCCCATGAACCCCTCAATTTCTTACCATCAGCTTCATGTTTTCCGTGAGGAAGTTCATTGTTCACGGTTCGCAAAATGGGTAATTTGGGTTGTTCGATAGAATAAAGCACAGATATGTGTTCATAATCGCCCGATTCATCGTTCAGATAATTGTTCGTTTCTATGTTGTAAATTTACGTGCGATTAAAAAAAAACGCGTATTAAAAATGAAATGAAATGGGACGAGACAAGTGAAAGTACCATCAGTTCCGTAGACGACCAAACTGGTCACGTCCGATTTTAAGCCTCCTATCACCTGCGTATGAACAATTAAATGATACGATCAGATCTCGCGGTGTTTATCATTTCGATCCGCCATGAAACGGCAGACGAGTTTTATTGTATACAAAATAAGTAGGCCGTGAACTCGGCGTACACTTCGTCGAACCAAATGAATTGATATTACTTTTGCCTCAAGCATGGTCAATACTGCTTTTTTAGCCAAGTCTAATCCCGTTCCACCCTGTTTTCGTTCTCTTTGCCACATGGTGGGACCCACATCAATAATGTAAATGGTGCACTTTTTGTCAGCCATTTTTGAGATCTTGTCGCAGAAGTCGCCTGCGTATTTTACCGTCAACCTCGTCACGTATTATGTCACGTGTAAAACAAACATTTCCTGGTCACATGATTGATGCGCACAATACACCGCATGTACTGTACAGTATATTGCATATAAGAATAGAATTTCAAATTTCAAATTTTAAATAAATGTACGAGAAGTAGCATCCTTCCTAGACATCGCCTGTAGTAATTATTCACAAAAGAAAATAAAAATTCGAATTATCAATCGCACAAACTTTCTAGATTAGACCTTGCACCGAATTGCGGATTGAATGAGCCAATCAATCGTTACGGTCAAATTCTCATACTAACGGATGGAAACCTTCTCTTCAAATTCACACTGGAAAACACATTACCCATCCGCTTAATAGCTTGCGACATTTTTTCACCTCCGAGAGCCATACACGCGTTAACATATTTAATCGTGCAAAAATGGACAACACAGTTAGAGCGAGTGTCATAAATTCGGTTTGTTGTAAGAGTAGTTTAACATGGCTGGATAAGGATTGCGTGAACATTTAACCACATGTCAGTATGACGAACTATTGGTGATGGGTGACAAGTACTGAGATGCTAAAATCGCATTTACGTGTATGCATCAAGGTATGATTCCAAGGCCTATTTGGTATTAATTAAAGTTTAACTTGTTAGAAGAGAAAGCGTATCATCACGAACTTCGAATCACACCTCTAATCAAGGTGGTAGATAACTTTACCCTCTCCATTAGCAAGATGGCGCAGTTTAATCTGTTCAATACATAAAGTCCCATGTCTCGTGAGGGAACGTGGTTCCATGGTTTTTGATGTCGCTTTTCTCTTCAAAATCAATTCGTAAACATAATTTGCCACATATTCAATCATTCAACTTCTATTTCGAACCACGATTGATCTTTAGGACACTTACTGATCATGACCATAAAACAGTTCAACGAATTCTGACAATAGACTACCAATTTTCATCTCCTTAAGCCTATTGACAATTCTCCTCACCTTGAGAAAATAGAAATCTGTCAAGATTGTAGAAATATAAAATTTGAAACCTATTCTAATAATCGTAAACCATTCCGCTTTTTTACCTCTTCAATCTTACGGAAATAAATCGCCCGCTTATGTTGATTCTTATTTTTGTAAAAAAGTCTTTCCAAAAGGTGCATTTCCTCCCACAATTCGTCCCTTTGAAAGTAAAGAGCAAAAGAAGAAAGTTGACTGAAGTTCTCCTCATGTTCTTGATGTTGAACCGTTGATGAAAAAATGGTTGATTTTGGATGGCAAATGATAGATGGTTTCAGGAGGTACCGTGACAATTGGACGGGGACCTGATGCACTGAACCATCCTCAATGACTTTCATGGTTTCGAAAAAAAATTGATCAGCTTAATGTATCACAGCAAAATTTTTATTTTGCAAATTATTTTTTCAGATATCTGACATTCAAATTTCTAATTAATTCGCGTGGAAACGACCGACTTTCTAATACCAATAATCTAAACGTTACGTCATTCCGAACACTCCAGACAAGACTTATTATGATGCGTACGCAAAACCTCAAATCAATATGAGTATCCCGAGTGGCTGCTCAACTTTTTTTGCTCAGCTATTTCAATGCGGTGATTGATTAATATATTGTTACGATCATTAAGAAAAAAAAAAATAATTTTTTTTTAATAGTTGATTTCCACTTACTAGAATACCAAACTGGTATAGCGATTTCGGCCCCAGTTGTTTTTATCACGACTTTCCTGCGTGTCCACCTTCGAGGTTGAGGAGTTTTCTTAGTTCGTTCTACGCTATTACCTGAATGGGTTTTAATGTCTTGAGAAAAGGTAATCTGCATCGCTTGCTGAGATGACGGAGACGACACAATAGCTATAGATATATGCGTTGATGAATTAATGACCAACAAGCGAGAACTGTATGAAGAAATCACGCAGAAAAATACTATCCATTTACCTTCTTGCTCGGCTGTAATATATGCGTCGGGGTGCTGTGAAAAATTGGTTTCGCTGTAAACGGTTCTTTCCGAAAAAGGATTCCATTTTTAGAAAACGAAACTTTCTTACACCGAAGAACACTGAAGTATAACTTACTCGGAAGAAAGTTCCGATGTAATATGGCTGGCTTCTTTCTCCTTGCCTTTGTTACTGGTCCCAACTCCTTTGGGGTTGAAAGTAATTATTTTGAAATTTTCCGTTGTGCGAGTAAGTTTTGGAGGTTTCTCGCTAACCACATCTTCCATAAGTTCTGCCGATTTACGCGGGCGACCTCTTCGTTCTACCTTGTTCTGTGTTATGCTTTCCTCAGTCTTAATCTCTGGAACTGGCGCAGGCGCATTTGCAGTCGAATTTTTAGGTTTTCGCTTGATTACCATTTTTTATCGGGCTGTCGCAAAACATCATCTTTTGAGATCTTTTTTATATGTATATTGGTACTTCTTTCATGCAGATCCATTTAATTCGCGTAATTATCTGGAACCTCGGCAAGCTTCTGTGGGCGCCATTTATTTCTGCTAAGTTAAAAACTAGGTTTGCAGCAAAATGTACCAATTATTACAGTACAGTATGTACAGTATCACATTATATACTGTATAATAAAAAAAAAAAAACGAGACAATAAAATAAATTAGATTCTATATATTTAATTTATTGATACGATTATTATTTAATAAATTTAAATTAAAAATAAATGTTTTAAATATTGTACAATTAAATAAATGTTTTAAATATTCATATACTTACATGTTTGTAATATATTATATTTTAATGAAAATACTTTTGGCACGGCAAATTGCAATATCTTATTCAAGAATTTTTAAATAAATTTACCAGTTGCTTCAAAGAAAAATATTTGCGCCTTATATAACAATAAAACAACATTTTAAATTTCTAATACAGTATAATGTAAATTAAATTATAATTCGAAAATGATAATTCGAAAGATGTTTATAATTTTTGTAATAAAATAAACGATATGCGATTAAAATTTTTTGAAAAATAATAATTATAAATAAAATATTATAAATTAACTTTACTAAAAATTTATAAAGGGCCAGGAAGATTTGTTGCAAACTAATTCCCGGATCTTTTTTTCCATACACAATATTTCCTCTTTATAAATGCCGAACTTCTATTTTTTAAAGACCCCATCACGTACAGTTATAGATTATGCTTATCAATTTCCATGATTATAAATACATTTTAAATTAACAAACTCTAAGAACATTAAAACTGTTAATACAGATCTTCGCTTAATATCGATCTATTATTGGATCAATTAAAAGTAAAAATTAATTTGGCATGAACACGACATACCAAGGGAGGCCTTCTCAAACTATCTATGTTGGATCCCGATCAGAATTTTTTGAAGCGCGACACGAATTATTTGTTTGATTTCCTCCTAATAGACAAAATCGATGTATATATATGTATATGTATATATATATACGTTCAAATAAATGTCTAATACCGAAGCACCAACATTAGATCTGGAGAAAACCTTGATAATTACCTATTTATAACCATTTCTTAAATATATAACCGGAAAGTAATTCGTAAAGAAAATAAATAAGCTACTGCATTTATATAGGTTATGAAGACTCCGTTAACATTCTTTTCAACATTGAGCTCCAAGAATCATTTGTTGCAGGAACAACGATCTATGAATGTATCAAAAACATTGAATGTAAATTTTGCATCATCAAATTAGAAAATATATAAAGAATACCAACTTGATAAGGGAATGGGTTTTCATCGGAAGTTGTTATTGGCGGAATGTGATCTTTTTTATCATTAACGAACCGTATAATGTCGAAAAGGCAGGAAGAAAGTTGCCTACGAACCCTTGATATGTCTATGAATGATTTGGTTTTTTTAACTTAATCCTACTGCCAAACCACCTTAAAGTTTTGATAGATATGTGTGTGTATTATTTACCACGCTCCTTATGACACGTAATAGTGACAGCCCATTGTTCCCAACAAATTTCCTTTTCAGATTCCGTAAACCAGGTCCTTCTTGTTCGTTTTTCATAAAACATCACGGCGACCTAAAAATTTGGTAGAAATTAAAGATTTACCGGTATGAGTTAATCCAAAGGCAGGAAGTGTAAAAAATTTCACCTGCCCCTTATGATTTCCATGGCTTTCCAGATTACGCCTGAATTGCTCTACTTTTTCCTCAACGGCCTTTTCAATTTCATGATCATCTATTGCTGACTTATTTAAGTATAGAAAATTATTATGTGCACAAAACAACTTTGGTAGACAAGTGCGCATACGTAGGTGATATCCAGTAAGTCAACCTCTTTCGGCTTTATATTTCCAAAAACTCTATAAAATAATATTGTATGCAATATTGCTTTCATATGAAAAAAAAAGTGAGAAGAATAATCACAAAAAATATAAAAGAAGACTACTCTCACTCCATACCACGTAAGACTTCGGCAACAAAATCTCTATCTACTGTCTGATTAAATAATTAGAGTTAGTTCGCTCCTATAGATTTTTACTGCAGTAGAATTGTAGGATGTATTAATACCAGGTCGATTGAAAAAACTTCTGGAGCCATCAAATTGTGAACTAATACGCTTGCGTTGCTACGTATTAATACTGTTAAAAAAAAAAAAAGATCAGATATTAAAAATACAGTACGTGTGTGTGGTACAAATAAAAAGATGTAGATACTACGGAATTTAATCATTTCTGCATCACGTGTTTTTAATATTGTACTAATAAGGAAATCGTACAGATTATGCGAATTTAAAAGGACACCCCTACAATAATTTACCGGAAATCGAGTTTTTTATGTAGACGCAATCCATAAAAACCGGTTTTTTTATGGATTTTTTTTTTATTCAAAAAAAAATATATGGCAATGAATTGATAAGAGATCTAATAATTGATGCCTATCTTATAGATTCAAATGGTTCAAAGATATTTAGTGCCCTAAATATTTCTTGCACAATCATATATGACACTATAAACCATTATAAAAATATTGGTTTATCACATTCCAAGAAATAATCTAATTGATTAAAATTTTTTACAAATATTATTTACAATATACTTTAAAATTTTTATTTTTTTCTTAACAAAAATTAAAAACAAACTAAACAAAAGTTTTAATACAACTTATACTATTAAAACATATTTTTATAATCTTGATTTAAGAGGTTATACTATATAAAAAAACCTTTTTTAATTAAATATCGATAGATTTATTAATTAAAGTAATATCAAAAAAAATATAATTGAAGAAGAGTTAAAATAAATTATATAGTCAGATAAATTTAAATTTGTTTATTTAAATTAGATAAAAGAATAAAAGTATGAAAAAAATAAATAATACTTATAGTGAAAATTATATTAGATTAATAGTTAAATTTGATAAAAGATTTATTATATTTTGAAATTGTTTTAACTGATATAGGATTGAAATATTAATAGTAGTTGATAAAAATATAAATTTTAATATTTTTATAAATTATTTAATACTATATTTTTGTAATATTTCAAATATGAAATTTCAACAAGATCTTACTTTATATTTAGTAATTGTAATAGATCAAATCAAATTAAATTTTAGGTAAAACTGATTTAAATTTGATCAAATTAATTTTTTTATAATTTGCATTCAAATCTGATTGAATTAGTTTTTATTCAATTCAAATTCAATAAATATTATTAAATATCTAAACAGGTATTCAATCAGATTATTTTTATATCAGTATTATTTTTATTTTTTTAAATATATTTTTTATTATATTTTATTTAAAATCCTTCTTTACAATTAACATTTTTAAAAAATTTTTATTATTATTTATAACTATTCTTTCTTAAATTAAAATAAGTACCAATATAGTTTAAATTATTGAAATTATGATTTCTATTTTAATTTTTTTTAATAATTCTTCAAATACTTATAAAGCAAATAAATCTTGTTTTTTTTTTTTTTTTTTTTTAATACTCTAGGTCAGGTTAGATATGTGTGCTTTATTAAATATTTGTATACTGTACATTTTAAATGATTCGTTAAAGCTAAGACTTTACCTAACTCACTTGTCACTATTTTGTCTTAATATACCAAAACTCTAAGTGCAACTTCGGAAGTGATTTATCGCTCCGTTAATGGTTTAGGTGAATACCCTTCCA